ATGCAGAGTTTGAGATAAAAAGATTAATCATCAGTCAGCCAGGTAAGATAGTATCAATGCTGACATCAAATGTGTGATGTCTATGCAAGCTTGAACATGATCAGATTATTTGACTAATGAACAAACTATATCCCTCATTCAACTGATCATCCTCTAAATAAAGCAAGAAAACAAAAAAACAAAAATATTTAAAGTTGTATGTCAGTGGCTCCACTACTAAGATAATGACTGATCTATGAAGAAAAAGTAAGAAAATGAAGAAGTTTATTATATTAGCATCCTAAAAAGATTTGTATGCAACTAGAGTATAAGTTACAGTGTGGTGCATAATTATATGGCCAGCTGAATTTTATCTTTAAACTTTAGCAAGTGAGATAATTGTTTAATATTTTGTGTATTATTATATAGTATTAATAATCTGAAATTTCAAATAATTACGATGAGTAGAAAATCAGTTATTGTAAAATTATTCAAAAACTTGAAAAATGATTGATGCATAATTATAAGGTCATTTTTAAAAAAAAGAGCACTGTAAGTTAAAATCATTTAAATCAACAATTGCTTAAAATTTTATAAATTATTATTAATAACTCACCAGTATTTGCACATAACAAAACTGACATAATTTTGTACCCAAAGGCATAGTTTAAGTGAATTTGTAAAAGGTCAAATAATCGCACTCAAACATGAAAATTTGAGTAGTAGAGATTTTGCCATTAGGATTAAGCATTCCAAAACGGTTATTAACAAGTTTTTATCAAACATGAAAGAGCATGGAGCCAGGAAAAGATCTGGAAGAAGCAAGAAATTAAGTGGCAGGGATATCAGAGCAATCAAAAAAGAAGCAAGCAATGCCACCATATCGTGTTCCAAGATCCAGGCAACTCTGGAATTGGGTGTTTAATGCTGGACGGTTTGGAGAAAACTTAATAGATTGTCTGAGTTCAGTTATGGCAAGCTTATGAACACTCCATGTTTGACCGAGCACCATACGTCAGAGCACTTCAATTGGGCCAAAGCTCATATGACATGGGACAAGCATTGGGAAGGTATGGCATTTTACAATGAAAAAAAATTTCATTTGGATGGTCCGAATGGGTTATCTTATCATTGGCATGACCTTAAAAAGGGGAAATTGGTCTTTTCTGAGCATACGAAAGGAGGAGGGAGTGTGATGATTTCGGCGACATTCAAATTCAAAGGCAAAACTCCAAATGTTTTAATTGACACAATACTTGATGCTTTGGGTTACTTGAATTTATTGTCTACTGCTCTTTTGCCTTATGGAAAAAAATTGGTGGTCGAAATTTGGTGTTTCAGAAATACAACACTCCTGTTCACAAAGCCAAGTCCACTATGGAGTGGTTTCAAGCTAACCGAATCAATGTTATGGATTAGATCACCTGATCTCAATCCTATCGAGAATCTTTGGGGGATATTGGTTAGATGAGTATACAAGAATGGGCATCAATTTAATGACAAGGAAGAGCTCAAAAGTAAAATTTTGATAGCCTGTGATTCAATTAATCAAAACGACACTCAGAAGTAAATCTATTCTATTAAAAATAGAGTGTTTGGAGTAATAGTCAATCAAGGAAAACAAACTAAATATTAATTTCTATGAATTTTTAGTGTTTGTCACTTTTGAAATAAAAATTTTTTAATAACCTTATAATTATGCATCAATTGTTTTTTGAGTTTGTTAATAATTTTACAATAAACGATTTTCTACTCATAGTAATTATTTGAAACTTTCAGATTATTAATACTATATAATAATATACAAAATATTTAAAAATTGGCTCAATTGCTAAAGTTTAAAGATAAAATTCATCTGGCCTTATAATTATGCACTGCACTGTAAATGCAGGCACGCCTAATGCTACAGTTAGTGACTGGGACACTAAGATTGTTTCTACCATAGTGCTATAGATGAAAACAAGTTTGAAGATAATAAAGGAAGCTGTGAAGAATTATGATTACCTATATCCTAAAAAGATACAGCATTTAAAAAAAAAAAAAAATCTCCTAGAAGCACAACAGTCATGGTCACACACACCCACACATACAAAAAATCATTAAAAACAGAAAATGAGTAAAATATACATTGACAAAAGAAATACCGATGTTTTCTTCCAATTAACAATATTAGAAGTAGTGGTGCAGCTTGTGAGGATTGAATTTAAAAACACTAGCTTGCTAATTCCAGTCTTTTAAAAAGAAGTAGAAGTTTATACCTTTTTTCATGTTTAGGATTGGGTTTCTGGTTCCTTCTAAAGCCTTTTCCTTCTCATTCAATTCCAGTAGCCCCTTTCATCTTACTGCCATTATCCCCTTGCTTTTGGTGAATTGATTAAATAAAAAAAAATATATAAAATTCTAATTAACATGCTAACCATTGATCCATAGAAAGCATCCAGTTTTAGATTACAAAACAATATTTTTTTCTGATATTAGACACGACTTATTAAGAAATCTGGAGGAGGTGGAGGAGGAGAAAAATGTGTAAATTTTCTTCTAATTCATAGTCCCTTTTCTCAATAATGTTTGGTACACAGCTCATAGGTCACAAGTAGGTTTATTCTTAATTGAATAAATACAAAATAAATAAAAAAGGCAACAAATATATAAATTTTATATCAGTTCTCATTACCTTCACCTGTAGGCCTATCTCAAACTATGATCATCATGGTAAAATTCATTGATTGATTTATTTGCCTATTGAACTAGTTTACCAGTACAATACACCAATATGTAATCATTAAAAAAGAATTATACAGCTGTGACACTATGGATAGGCAATGGCAGAATAGTAAAACCTAACCTTGAACAAAGAAAGGGTTTAGCAAAAAAAATTATAGTTAGGAAAACTAATTAGTGAGGATAAATGAAATTAGGATTTGAATGAATTAAAGACTCATTAGGGTACAAACCTGAAATTGACTGGAGGTTTAACTTAGTAAAATGGAACAAAAATTGACAAAGCTCCAAAAATTAAATGTTAAAAATTTCAGCTAGTGATGATATGCAGTAAAAGTTAATTTGTTGCTTCAGGTTTTCAAGAGCAGAGAGAACTGTTACTCAATGGGACGTGGTTAAATATATGGAACAAATTACTGGGTCTCATGTAACATAAAATGATAACCGAGGAAAATGAATTATGAAGAAAAATAAACTGTTGAAATGAATTGTGAAAGGAAAAACATACAAAAGAAAATAAACCGGATTCAGAGTGGAATCATTATATATATATATATATATATATATATATATATATATATATATAGATAATATTAGTGGAAAATATACATACATATGAAAAATATATCTAAAAAATTCCCATACATGTGTATTTTCAGAAAAAAATTTTCCAAGAGGAAGGATCCAGGTAGAACTCAATATTTGGTCCTTGCGAAATGAGACAATCGTTATAGTCTATACGAAGTTACGATTCCAATGGAATAAATTATGACCATGGAATATTAGTGTTTAAGCCTTTTTTATTATTATATATATATATATATATATATATATATATATTATTGGTTAGAATTGAATTAGACCAGGAAACAATAGTATTAAAAAGTGCTCAATACATATATAAAGAAAAGAAAATAAAAAATAAAAATTTAACATGTAGAGTTTTTAAATTTTTAAAAATTAAGATATTAGCCAATAACACTACCTTGGTTTCAATTTTTTTGTATCTTCAGGCAATCCGAGCTAAATAATCTCATGACGCTTTATTATTTAAAAATAAATAAATAAACATACAACATGAAGCATAATAGAAGGGGGGGAGAAAAGCAAAGGTAATGAAATTATATCAGGTGGGTTATATGAAATGTACACGCTTTCATCCTGGTTCAAACAAACTCAAAAGAAATTTTTTTGTGCACTGAATGAGAGATCAGAAATAATAACATGATGCATGCACTGTGATAATTCATATAACATTTCACCCACTGAGCACCTTGAGACGGTGTAATGGTTAGCAAGCTTGTCTCGCTAGAACAATTGCAAATGAGTAGTGAGTTCGATCCACACTGGGTGTCCCTTACTTTCGGCCTTGTGCCACATCTACACTACACTTGAAAAACCACTATAACATTTCACCCACAAGTCTATCTAACTCAACTACATAAGTGCTAATTTTCTTCACATATCTCCGTCTTGATTACTTCCTTGCATTATACCCCAAATGAACTATCAGTCTCACATAACTGATATACAATATCCTGGAACAAGCAAACAATCAAATTTTGTAGATCAGACGGAAATAAAAACTCTGTCTTTTCTCAATATATTGTTTTATCACTTTCACTATTTTCTTGTTACCAGTAAAAAAAAAAAAAAAAAAACTACAGAAAAAAGAGATTCATACACTTAATACAATTCATTATAAACCCGAAACTTTAAAATCTCAGTTTTATGTTGGCTTAGCTAATGAAATCTGATGAACAAAAAGAGATAAAAAAAAAAAAATGAATATATATATGTGTGTGTGTGTGTGTGTGTGTTTGTGAGTGAGAAAGAGAGATAGACATCAAAGAAGAACCATAGAATTCCTACAGGTTCAATTATAAAAAGTTTGCATCATTCAAACTGTTGTCCTTTTTTACATTTTGAGAAAATTGCCCCCACCTTCCATGTAATTTTGATTTTTACAATTACATTCACGTGATCTTTATAAACAGGTAAGACAAACCACATGCTCATTTTCACAGTAATACAAATAGAATTTAGACCCTCATTTTGAGAGATTACATTTTTATAGGTTTTGTAAATATGTAAAAAAATATTACCTTTGTACACATGTATTGAGGTATACATTTTCTAAAATTTATTTTTCACAGAACATTACAAAACTTTTAGAAGTGTTTTTTGTTTTTTATTACAGGATTGATTTACTGATTGATTGATATGTTTGTATTTTTACAGCTTATCAACTCTTTGTGGGCTATTTAAAGCCAAAAAGTATTTCAGATTTTAGGAGGTTGCTTACAGTACCCAGTTTTCCCAAATGGAAAACCATCTGAGTACTGACCATGCTCAACATTGCTTAACCTCTGTAATCAAACGAGAACCAGTGTTTTCAGTGTGATTTGGCAGAAGGTATTTTTTGAGTAGTATTTTTTAAATGTGTCTTGTTCATAAACAAAAAATACATGAATAAAAAAATTAATTAGTCATTTTCTTGTTTCCATAAAAAATACATAAAAATTAATTATAGTGTCAAAAAATAATTATAATAATTATCATTAATTCACTCATTCTAAACCAATGACAATCAACCCTACTTTTCCCCTCTACACTCACACAAACACGACATTCTCAGGCAAGCAGGTCATTAAAACAGGCATCAACAAAAAAATTTTGTTTCTATTTCCTTTTTCCGAGCATAATATTAACATTATCTTTTGGCACTTAACAAAAATTCAAAGTAAGAAAACCCCAGACACTTCTTGCATTTTTCCAATTAAATTATCTGGACACTCATTACACACATCTATAATAATAAAAAAAAAAAAAAAAAAAAAAACAACATAAGAGAAAGACTGTATACATTTTACTTATTCATTATCTTATCCTTCTGTCGGATTCCGATCCATATTTGATCAACATTTGACTCCAAACTCAGTTTCACTCAGTATTACTGTCTCTTGTGTCTCCAATACCACATAACGATCAGATAATAAATAATACTCGTTTTGCTGTTTTTCATTTTTATGAGTGTTTTTGTATATATAAATGTTAGCAGGTTTATAATAATTTACTCAGAGTTAGAACTCCTCTACAAACACAACAAATTACGTCGCACTTATTTCAATTAACCACTTTACTTTGTTACTTATGTAACTCATGTAAAACCAATCTTAGCTGGCAAATAAATAAGTCACAGATGGGTATAAAAAACACTTTTGATTATTTACAGCTAATTTGTTTAAAAATAATGCACTGACTATTGTTTGCATCACATGGCAATAATTATAAGTAAAATGCTGCACTAAAATAAGTAATCAAATAATCGTTTCAAGTTCTCTGAATATCTGCACAATTATTTTGATGGAAAGAAAACACAACAACTGAACCCATTGCTATAACCAGATTCACCTTTAGGCATTTTTTTTCATATTCCTTTTTTAAATGAATTTGTTTCCATCTATATTTTCAAAATTCATTGTTTTTAACTTCAATTTTTTTCTGTTAGTGATTGCTCTCATTGATTTTGTGGAATAATCCACGTTACCTTTTCACCCTTTTGCAGAACAATCCATTCTTACACCCACACACCTGTTATCCAATCAAAACACTAGTTCTGACAAACTCAATTTCTCATTGGCTAACAGCCTTAAAAAACTAAGTATGCACGTGAAAAATGCCTTTGAGCCTATTTTTCCTTTCCAGAACCTATAAAAGAAAGAAATTCGAACCAACTTACCAGTCAGAATTCCACACTCAGAGAGATGCCAACCAATTCCACGCCAATTCAAACTTTGACTTTCCTGCACAAATTAACCTCTGACTCAACAACCTTTTGGCATACTCAATCTCTCAATATATATTCACTACATATTAGTAACAGTAACAAGCAAAACTTTTAACAATTAACAGTTCAAGGTACGCAACTTCGTACAACTTAAGAATATTTTACATAACACTTGTATACACACACTAACATTTGAACTGTAAAATCGAACAACTTTTGTATGTTGAACAGCAAACTGTTTAATTCCTACAACAAATCATCAAAACACTGATTTAAGCATTCAAACATACTCAACAACAAACTACATGTCTTATTACATCAACATACAACAAATCCCCAATTCATAACTCATTTGTATATATATAAATTGTATATAAATTACTGTATTGTGTTGTGTATTTTACTTGTCTTTGTTTTTAACTCTGCTTTGCATGACCTGTTCTAAATATTCGTTTATTATTTGTTGTGGATGAATGTTAACAAACATGCCACCTAAAAAAAATTTCTTTCTGATTTAACCAAATACATTCACTGATCTCCAACAATTTGAATGCTACACCTTGTAAACGTTTTTTTCTTTGTTCAATTTTTAATTTATATTTTTATCAAAAAGCAATGGGATACTGAGATAGTACAATCAAAAAGGAATACTTTGTTTTCTTACATTACAATTACATGTAAACCCAAATTGTGTTTATTAAAATGTAGAACTTCAATACCTTTCCCATAATTTATATATCCAATTAATAACTTATTCTTCACAAGTTCACTTGGAGAGATTTATAATATAAATTAGTTTTTATATTAACCCTAACACCTATTATCTGGCACATGCTGGGAAAGTATAAAAAATATTAAGCCCAAGCCGCAGGGGCCCTTCCCCATACCACCCCACTGCCAACTATTACCTCTCCTTCGTTGGGAGAGGGATGGGTTTATTGCTGGGCACCTGAGGTGTCTCCAGAAGAAGGGGAAGTGCTGAGGGGGCTTGGGCAATTTTTCCACAATATAGCTGTTAAACCAACTTTAAACCTTGACCTTCTGACACATACCGTAGCAACCTGTGCATGTTGAAAAATAAATACAGGGTGTTCCAAAAGAAAGACACATTACTATTGATAACCTTATAAACTTTATCTTTATTAACCAAATGAAATCATGCTTCTGTATGTGACAACATATTATTAAATTTTATTGGTTGAATTATGGAAGATGATGTTGTAAAGGAACAACAAGAACCAATATATATATATATGTACAAACAAATAATAATGTATTAACAAACAAAGGTTTACAAGTGACAAAGACAATATGTTATGCTAATAGGAATAGATATTTGAAAAACAAGGTGTATAAAGTAAGTAAGGTTTATTGTACAAAACCAGTAAAATAAGAATAAAAGGTAAGTTTTGCACAAGGTTGTCACAAGTCAATCCAGTAATGAGTGGTTCTATTGGAAGGTCGGTAGTTCTCGCGTAAGCCTGAGTCGTACCCAACAGATCCCAGTTAGTCAATATCTAGTAGCCCCCCCCCACAAGGGTAGATGTGGCACAAGGCCGAGTTTTACGTGGGTTCTTCCAGCCCATAGGCTCGGCCAAAAATATTCCCTTTCGAACCTGTATAAATGGGTTCAGGGGGCAGTCTACCTCCCCAAATGAGACTCTGCCCTTTGGCGGAGCCTCATCTGGATTCCTCTCTGCCTGAAAGCAGAGAGACTGTTTAGCTGGAACAGATCACAGCTAGTATATTTAGCTACCCACCCACGTGGGTTGCATGTGGCACAAGGCCAGTTTAACGTGGGTTCTCCAAGCCTGTATGCTCGGCCAAAAAAATGCCCATAGAACCCGCATAACAGGATCAGGTTGTCAACCTCCCCGAACGAGTCTTGACCCTTCGGCGAAGCCTCGTCCAGGTTCCTCTCTGCTCAGAGGCAGAGAGTTCAACCATCTAGCTGGGAGAGATCGCAACTAGTATATTTAGCTACCCACCCCCACGAGGGTTGCATGTGGCACAAGGCCGGTTTAATGTGGGTTCTCCAAGCCTGTAGGCTCAGCCAAAAATATTCCCTTTTGAACCCGTATAAACGGGTTCCGGGGTAGTCTACCTCTCCAAACAAAACTCTGGCCTTCGGCAGAGCCTTGTCCGGGTTCCTCTCTGCTCAGTGACAGAGAGTTCGACTGTTTAGCTGGAACAGGTTGCAGCTAGTGGCACAAGGCCAATTTAACGTGGGTTCTCCGAGTCTGTAGGCTCGGCCAAAAGTATTCCTTTTCGAACCAGTATGAATGTGTTCAGGGGCAGTCTATCTCCCCGAACGAGACTCTGCCCTTCGACAGAGCCTCGTCCGGGTTCCTCTCTGCTCGAAGGCAGAGAGTTTGACTGTTTAGCTGGAATAGGTCGCAGCTAGTCTCTGTAGTCCATTGACTTACGGATACTTATAGATAGTTACTAACTCTAGTGTAGTCACTCAGGTGGGTGACAGGTTATTCTATTACATCACAATAAAATGTGTAACAAACAAATGTGGAAACTTTTTGGTCCAAAGTATATGAAGCGAGTGAATGTGCATACATACGTGTGTGTGTGTATGTTTTGTTCATTCATGTTCCAAAAAGGGAAACATGATTTTCTGCTAGAGATTTACATATTGTCATATAAGTAGAAAAGTAAGAAGAGAGAAGTTGCGAATAATTATCACAGAGTATTTATAGTGCCGGAAAATGTCCCCTAGGAGCGGTTTTGAAAATTAAGAGGAGTTAACCTGACAATGTCATGCAAATATTCCCTGGTTGTTATTTCAAAAGTGTATGTTTTTCTGCCAATTGTTGCATGTATTTTGAAACACCCTGCACTTTCAGTCTTTGTGCAACATTTTTCAGGATTCATGTGCTGCAAACTGCAGTGTTGAGCCACTTGCATGCCATCTTGTAAATAACTGAAAAGGTCATTTAGTTTTCTTTCTTGGATAACAACATGGATATGTCAGTTAAAAAAATGATTAATTGCAAATTTAAAAATTAACTCGGAAATTGTTTTATTAATTAAAAATTTGTGAGAATAAATGCACATTAATGCAGGAAATAGCAAATAAGATTTAAATTTAAAAACGTAAAGCTTTGGGATATTATTTTTTTGTATACTTACTTTATGGCTAACCTGATGAATATTTATGACCATTCTTAAATTTAAAAATTTTGAAAAACGAATAACATTTTTAATCTTCTTAATACTTTAAATCCTTGCATTTGCCTTGATAAAGTGAAAGTCCTCAGAGGGCGAAACACATCGGCTAAGATAAGTTTTCCTAAATTGAGTTTTGGATAAAAACGTTGGTTAGAGCCAGTGACTAAACTCTAAGAGCTGTGAGTTCAATACCAGGCCACAGCAGTGGTGAACCAAAAACTTGGAGAGTTGAGTTAACCGAGACATCAGGATGAAGAGGCATGGCACGTGAAAATAGAACAATCTACCCCGGTGGACGAAATAAAGGATTCGATTCGAAATTCCAATCATCTGAAGAAGGCCGGAGCGTACAACGGCCGAAATGTTATGAAAATGGCAATGAAGATGAGGATAAAAGTGCGAATATAATATAAATAATGCAAGTTTTCCTTTAACTTTTT